GGAAAGAGTATGATATCCACCATGTGGTAAGTATTCAGTAAATGTTAGCTATAATTAGTCAGTTGATAATAAACATTAAGGTGTTGACCAATGTTAATATAATTGTAGACTTAATTTAGCCATTCCTTTCACCATTACAACTGATAAAATTAAGCTAAATATTTGCACATTCTTATTATATTTTCTAATTTTACTTTTTAAAGTAAAAATTCCTACTGTCCAGTCCAAAAGACACAAACCGTGTTTTTGTGATGGCTTAAAGACTGTTGATCCACCTTCTCTTTCACACCAAGAAAAAACAAGAGAAAGCCTTCATATGGTGAGTAAAGTTGAAGTCCTCTGTTATTCACCTAGAAAATGCCATTCTTTGGGCCAGCCAAACTTTGGCTATTGCAGCACTCCTTTCATTTTAAGGACACACAGGTTGAAAATGTTTTCTGTCATAAGAAAATGTAGCATAATTGAACAAAAGAAGCCAAGAAGGTATGTTGTATGGTTAATTCTCAGTTATCTGCACTGATAAAGAGCTATAGGTTAGCTGCTGTCTTTTACACCTAGGTTTGGTTCTTTGGCTACTTCTTGTCCCATAGACACTTCCGCAGTCATAGTGTGTATTTAGGGAACATACGAGAAAAGACCCCAAATCTCAGATAGAGAAGAGGAAAGCAATCTGGTCTAATCAACCTGGATCCCACATGGTTAATAGTGATCAATAGTGTTTGATATATCTGAAACCTTTCATATAAAGGTATATTTTTGCAAAAATAACATACTAGTTTCTCAATAAAATATATATTAATTGATATATAAGATATAAGATATATATATATAAGATTCTTATATATTAATTGATATATAAGAAATATATCCTTACTTTGATAAAAAACCAAAGCATACTAGATCCTAACTTACTTCTTAAGCAAAGTAGTATCCTCAGTGAAATATCATTTTGAATAAGACTATGTTGATCGGACTTCTCTTATATACTTTCTATTAGTGTAGAGAGGGAAAATGTCATTCATTGAACCCAAATTATGATTAATCATCTAATTTATACCGTAAATATATTATTAATATGTTTTTATTGATTTCAGAGAGGGAAGGGAGAGGGAGAGAGAGATAGAAACATCAATGATGAGAGAATCATTGATTGGCTGCCTCTTGCATACCCCTACTGGGGATTGAGCCCACAACCTGGGCATGTGCCCTTGACTGGAATTGAACTGGGGACCCTTGAGTCCATAGGCCAACACTCTATCTACTGAGCCAAACTGGCAAAGGCTACTCCTTAAATATTTTAAGTCGATTTCAAAGCTAAATTGTATTTGCCTCAGCACTTTGAAATATTTTGCATTGTTTCCTGGTATCTGTTGTAATAAATGAAAAGTCAACTTTTCATTTCCTTGTAGATAATCTATTTTTTAATCTTTCAGTTTTAAAAATTTTTCTCTTATTCTTTTACATTCTAAATATGGATGTGTTTTTATTAATTATAGTCAGGACTAGGCATGCTCCTTTATCTGAAGACATTTCTCATTTATATTCTAGATACTCTTAGCCCTTCCATCATTGAATATTGCCTCTCCTCCAGCCTCAGTATTCTCTTTTTTTTGAAACTCCTATTTAGATGTCTGTTAGGCCCATCTCTGTGTCTCCTAATATGTTTTTTTTTTCGATATCTTGAACTCTTTGTATTATATTCTGGGTGATTTCCTTTGATTTCTCTTTCAATTCATTATTTTTCTCCTCAAATATTTATAGTTTATAAATTTAAAAAGAAACATCAATGTTTATAAATTGATGATGTTTATAAATTTATAAATAAACCAAGTTTATTTTTTATTATACTGATTTTTTAAATAAATTTATAACTTTATTTATTTATAATTTATTATTGACTCAATAATATATATTGAGTCTTTAATTTTAATGACTTTTTTATTTCTAGAAATTGTTTACTTTTCAAATATTTTTAAAAAAATAAAGCAAACAAAGACTTTTCTGCTCTTGCCTTACAATATTGATATTACTTTATAAAATATTTTCAAACATTTTTAAAGGAATTTTAAACTCTCCTCCTGACTCTTTTTCATGATAACATGATTTTTCATGTGGTTTGTAATTTTTTTATTCTAATCTCACTTCAGTGATGGTTGTTTATCGTGGGAATTTTGGTGAGTGTAGGCTTCCTATTTAAAATTTGCTTTTGAAAGGGTCCTAGAGGTTTGTCAGTTGCACACCAATTTTTATGCTAATTTCCCTTTTTGGTTTGCTAACCACACATTGTATAAATATAGTTCTCATATACATGTGTGACCAAAGTAGGTCTCTACTTTTCTACCTAAAGCCTGGATGGGTGACAAGTTTTTCTAACCCTTAATCTAACCTAAAACGTACCCACTCTGGGCCACTAGCTTTATGCAGGAACTGCATTATAATTCCCTCCTCAAATGGGCTTGAGCTTATCTCCTATTCCTGCATGGGCATTAAAAACCTAACCCCTAATACCTGTGTTCCAAATCCCACATGCACCATTGCTAGCTTAATTTCTGGCACCAGGGAATTTTCCTTTCCTTTTCCATTTTTAGCTGTGTGTGTGTGTGTGTGTGTGTGTGTGTGTGTGTGTGTGTGTTTAAAGATTGTATTTTGTCCAGCATTTACATGATAATGTGACTTAAAGGTATATTTTCATGTCAAGATTAGAACATTATGAAACTATGGGTAGGGTATTTGCTTCAGGAAAAATGTATATAGTTTTAGATGCCATACCTCGGAAAATGGAGATATAGTAGTTTTAGATGCCACACCTCGGAAAATGGAGATATAGCAGAAAACCAATTTCACAAAAAAGAAAAACTCAAAAGAAATATGAGGACTTTAAATGTAAAATTGGTTTTAAATATTGAAAATTTCAAAATTTCCAATGAGGGGTAACTCTGTGGCCACAAAGGAAATGAGATCATTTTACCTTGGTACTACCTTCAGATCATAGCACGTAGGCAGCCTCTTTCTCTGTCATAAAATAAGTACAGAAATAATAATAATAATAATAATAATAATAATAATAGTAGACATTCACTGAGTACCTATCATATAGCAAGCTGTCCTCTATGTACTTTACTTTTTTAATTAAATCTTTATTGTTCAGATTATTACAGTTGTTCCTCTTTTTTTCCCCCCATAGCTCCCCTCCACCTGGTTCCCACCCCAACCCATGCCCTTACCCCCCACCACTGTCCTCATCCATAGGTGTAAGATTTTTGTCGAAACTCTTCCCGCACCCTTCACCCCCTCTTCCCCCTGAGAATTGTCAGTCCACTCCCTTTCTATGCCCCCACTTCTATTATATTCACCAGTTTATTCAGATCATCAGATTATTTATTCACTTGATTTTTAGATTCACTTGTTGATAGATGTGTATTTGTTGTTCATAATTTGTATCTTTACCTTTTTCTTCTTTTTTCT